GGGTAATATGGCGGGATGCCACATGGCTGACTACACAGTTCAAGTTCCAGACTCCATGGCTCGAAAAACACCAGATGTGTGTGCATAGTCGGAGCTGAATCCCACATGGCTGGCTATGGTTAAAACTGGGAGAGGCCCTGGTGGCTTGAAAACCATTCCAGCTATGCCTGTGTGCACGCCCAAAATCCTGATGGGAAGGAGAAGTGGAGGAAAAAGGACTGTGGCATGAGCAGGCCCCACTCCGGGCATTCTCTGCCTCTCTGGTGAGTGTATACATCCTCTGAAAGAAAAAAAGGTGAAAAAGAAAAACAAGGGTAGCAGTATGAAAGTCAAATCTATAATCATTTTGAACTGTTAAAAAAAAAAAAAAAAAAGACCTGGCCCAGCTGCAGTGGTGAGGTGGTAAGGCACCACTGTGAAAGCCTGAGGCTGCATGGGACACAGGTTTTGTTCCTGGACCAACCTAAACAGGCCAAGTGCAGCGACATGTGCTTATAATCCGGCCTGGCTGGGAGTGGGGCAGGGGATTACTACATAACAAGATCATGTCAAAAAACAAAAACAGGAAAAAAAAAACAAAAACCCTCCAAACCCCATGCACACCTATCTGTCTATCCCTCTCTATCCCTGGCTTCTGTCATTTAAAAAAGAAAAGAAAAAAGAAAAGAAGAAAAGAAAAGAAAAAAAGAAGAAACGAAAAGAAACTTGTGTTTGAAAAAGAGTGCCATACAATATTGCTTGCTTGCTTTCATTTAAAAAAGAAATTTATTTTTTATTTTTTTTTTTTTTTAGATTTTTACCATAGGGGGTATGTACTTGCCAGAGATAGAGGGAGAGGGAAATTGAGGAGAAATCACTCCTTCCAAGGGGAGGGCCACACTTGGATTCCTTTCTCCTCCATTTTCCTCCTGGACCTTGCAGATGTGCCTACTATGTTCTTCAAGCCTTTGGGTCTGGGACTTGAACTGCGGAGTTGGCCTTGTGGGATGCAGTGCCTTAACCATCTGCTGACCCTCTTTCTTTCTATTTTATTAATTTTTTTTTCTGTAGGGTGTGTGTGCTCACTGGAGAGAGTGAGAGAGAGAGGGAAAATGAGAAAGCACCCCCTGGAGAGATTGTCACACTGCAATTCCTTCTCCATTCTCCACTCAGGATTTAGGATATTCAAGCACACCTATCTGGTATGTTTATCTTTCTTTCTTTTTATTTTTAAAGATTTATTTATTTAATTTTTATCTATTCATTCATTTATTTTAGTTTGACCAGAGAGAGACAGACAGAGAGAGAGAGAGAGAGTGAGAAAGCAAGCCACCAGATCAGGGAAACGTGAGAATGTCCAGTGCCTCAGCTGCCACGCTATCTGCTGGTCCCCTCTGGTATGTTTTTCAAGCCATGGAGTCTGGGACTTGAACTGTGGAGTTGGTCATGTAGCATCCAGCCATCTTAACCATTAAGCCACCTGTTGGCCCAATTTGGTCATTTAATAATGGGATACATTTCCCACTGCATGAGTAATTAAGACCAGAGGTCTAGGTTGGCTGATGAATACGGTGACAGAGGATAAGTCTATATCTCCTACTTGATGCATTCAAGAAGCTAAGCCAACTTTGGTTAAAGAATACTGTATTTGGTTAAAGAATACTGTATTTGGTTAAAGAATACTGATGGTATATAAAGAAAATGTTTAAATTTCATTAGATTATATTTATAATTCTTAATCATTTCTCATTTAATTTCTTAGTGCTAATGGTAATACTATGCTTTTAAGTTATATGTAGAATAGTACTTTGAGAATAACTGAGAATAATGGTCCCAAGCCTAAGTGGATGAAGACACCAAACATGACTATGGGGCAGCCTAAGGAAGTACAGTAAATTTAGGAGAGCCACATCTGATCTTCCACCTTATGCCATAGCTGGGATGTCCCCATTTCATGTTTTTCTTCTTGCCTTTGTATAAACAACAATAAACTTCTTTATTAACTCTTACTATTTATCACAACCCTCAACAAAAGCAATAGCAGAGATGACTTGATACATATTCTAAAAAGAAAACAAACAGTAAGGTTGGATTTTGATTGTTTATGGAGCAAGGAGAAAGGAACATGTTTGGGGGCCTCATGGGAGAAACCGTACATTGAATCAAAGTGCAGCCTGTAGAAACTGGTTTCAGAGCAATTGTGTGGCAGCAAAGTTTTCTCGGGAAGCTGGGAGTCTGACCTGAGCCAGCCCCTGGGACTGAGGAAACATCGAAAATATTTGTTCCAAGGAACACGCTTTCCAGTCGGATCAGAAACTCTGCGGGGATAAAAGGAAAGTTATTCCAGGTACTGAAATTACGGTGAGAGACTAAGTCAGCCTGATAAAAAACAGATTTCAGCTCAGCTTTCTTCATCAAAAGAGTGAAAGACCATCCCTTCGCCCACTCACACAAGGGCTGAAATTGAAGAGACGTGCAGGTCTGAGACTCTTCCTGATAGGCGCTGGGAGTCACAATGTAAAGAAAACATTTATATCCTTCTGCTACTCATCCTCCCAAGAAAAACAAAACAAGAATGTTACCTGTTTATCGAGATCCTCGTTGAACTGAAATGGAAGGAGAACAGAGAATTTATTCACCCATAAAATCCACCTTAGACAAGTAGAGAACCTTTTTATTTTCTTTGAATGTTTTGCCATAGGGTGCATGTACTTGACGGAGACAGAGAGAGATAGTGAGAGAGGTAGTGAGAAACACCCCCCACCCTCCATCCCCCCAGGAAGGATGGCCATGCTGCAGTCCCTTCTCCTCCATTTTCCTCCTGGGATTTTGGGCCTGTACACACATGTGTTTAGTATGATTTTTAAGCTATTAGGTCCAGGACTCAAACCACAGTTGACCATGTGGGGATCCAATGCCTTAACCACCATGCCATGCCACCTGTGGCCCTGAAGAGAACCTTTCCCATCCCATCTTCCATTCCCCATCACCAAATGGAGCCCCCACATGCACCTGAGCACCTGGAGAGCTCGTGCACCTGGCTGTGATAAGGTCCCAGCCTGGGGATTCCTCTCCCTACAGGCCATGTTTGCTCCCTGGCTATCTGAGGTCAGTAGCCTCCAGAATTCTTTCACATTGCTTTTCTTTTCTCTGTTCTTCATTAACAAGCGAAATTGCCAGAAGCCATGTGAGCTTACAAGATAGATAGAAAGGGAGAGAAGAAAAGGGAGAGAGCACTTCCCAATGGGACACGGTCACACTGCAATCCCTTCTCCATTTCTCCACCCCATAGGTGTGGGCATGCATGCACATGCACCTGGAGTGTCCTTTATGCCACCAGAGCTGGGATCCAAACTGTGGTTGGTTGTGTGGGAATCTGGCTCTCTTAACCAGCAGGTCACAGAGCCGGCCCTCTTTGCATTGCTTTTCTGTTTCAGTAGCTGATCATGGAAGACGGGTGAGTCAGTCGGGGAAAGGCAGATCTGGGCACCTTGCAGGCTTTCTTACCTTTCCTGCTCCTCACGTACATGAAGATGCCCACCCCAAACATGATGAGCCCCAGCATGAAGCCCCCGACTCCAGTCAGTGTCTTGCTCCGGGCAGAATCAGACTGTGCCTCTGGGAAGAACAGACCCCAGTCAGCCTCACCCCACCAGCAGTACCCCCTGAGGTCCTGACTGGGATCCTGGACTCAATGTAGAATATTGTAATGAGGACAGGGAGGGGTTGCACCTTCACCTTGGATAAAAGGATGTTTAGAAAGACCCAATTCTGGAGATGAGGGTCTCCTTGGCAAGGGGACAAGCACTGATTCTGGCAGCTGTCTCTCAGAATAACTAAATAGACGAAAAGTCTAAAAATATAGAGGATTTCCTATGTGTGAGGGCATTCAGGAGGGTGTCTGCCCGGGTTCTCTGACAAGGGAAAGGAAACACGAACCTCAGGACCTCCCAAGGTAGGGACAGGCGAGTGTCCATCAACCCCAGCTCAGACAACACTCGGTTTTATACAAGAAAGAGATGGGGGTCGATGTGTCCCAGCATACAGACATACAGACAAGATGAGTGGCCTTCAGAGCCAGAGAGTCCCCTGTTCTTCAGACAGTGGGGTCTAGCTTGGCCATCAGGGGGTAACTCACTCCACTCCATGGTGACAGGACTGTCCAGGCTGGGGTGCTCCACATGGCAGGTGTAGACGTCTCCCTGCTGGGGGATCGTTTCAAGCATGACCAGGATCTGGAAGGTCCAGTCTCCATTTCGGATCAGGCTGGTGGACACAACCCCATCTGTTTCCTCCTTTCCATTCAGGAACCACTGGACTTGAATGTCACCCGGGTAGAAATCTGTCACATGGCAGATGAGCGTGTTGTGGTGCTGCAGGGGCCTCTTCTTGGAGGGGGAGACGTTCACATCAGGCTGGACTAAGAGCAGGCAGAAAAGGAATGGCATTTGAGATTATTATTTATCAGACATGTTCATTATAGAATTTATTTCTATATGTTTAAAATATAAGTGAGAAGCTGGCAGATGGCATGGTGGTTAAGGCACTGGACTCCCACATGGCTGACCACAGTTTGAGTCTTGGACCTGGCGGCTTGCTTTCTCACTTTCCTCTCTCTCTCTGTCTGTCTCTGATCAAAATGAAAAATAATAATAAGTAAATAAAATTAAATAAATAATTCCTAAAAATGAAAATACAAATGATGTAATTAGACTAGTGAATAAAGTGGAAAAAATAGAACTAGGGAACCAGCAGCTAGCGTAATGGCTATGTCACTGGACTCCCACGTAGTCGACCGTGGTTCGCGTCCCGGACCTGGTGGCTTAAAACTCACGCTGGGCGCGTGTGCATGCGTGCCCAAGATCCCGAGAGGAGAATGGAAGAGAAGGGATTGCGGTGTGACTATCCCCCCTGGGGGGTGATTTCTCACTTTCTGTCTCTCTGTCTCTCTCTGTCTGTCTGGCGAGCGCACACGCCCTATAGTGAAAATCTCTCCAAAAAAAAAATAAATAGAACTAGACCGTTAAATAGAATATGCATGATCTTGAACTAAATTGTAATTATCTAGAAGACTAGAAGAGAGACAAAAGCTGCAGCACTTCGTAACACATTCAGGAGAAATTTTAACTAGAAGCAACTGGACAGAAAAATATTGAAAAAGCCTTTGGACAAAAATAGCCTGTGGATAAAAGCTATTTAATTTGCTATGAAATCACCTATTTCTTCAATGCTCTATATTGACATAAAAGATGCAAAATGGACTGAAATAATTTCTCGAAATTAAGATATAAAGACAGCACCATTCTCTTGGTCTATTAATCTATTAAGTTTATTTCATACAAAATAGGAAATGAAACAAATTTGACAGGACTTATTTTTCAAATAATCTCCTTTAAAAACACACACACACACAAATGATTTTATTTACAGTAATATCTCCAAGTCCAATATTCTGAGCACTCACAGGCCTTATTAGTAGAAATATCCATTTTTGGGACTAGATCTGTGTCTAGTGATTAAAGGAATTAGATCCCGTGGTTGACTATGGTTTGAATCCCGCCTGAGAGCTTGGGACACACACTGGGCGCATGTGCATGCATGCTTGAAGTCCCAACAGGATGGAGAAATGAAGGAGAAGAGATTGGGTGTGGCCACAGCCCACTGGGAGGTGCTTCCT